AAACCAGGGAAAATATTCTGCATTAGATTTAGGAGATTCTAGTTTATTAATTCGTTCCTTCATATAAATTTGCATCGGAATTTGAATCAAAATTACGTACCGTGTCAGAACAATGTACCTGCAATTCTTAACACACCTACAAATCTTGATTGTTGAAAATCTGTCGAATCTATGCCGTTGATCGATGCATTATTTATTCTATTGCTGCCATACCTTCGTGTTTCTTGACTTAGAGGTTAGCAACGTGTCGAATAATAGTCATGGTCATAGTCACAAATACCAAAAAAGTATTAGCTTATAACAAGTGATAATATAATATATCCGCGTGTAAGTATCAGAAAACAAGCTGGGCATAGACATAAGCAATACGGTACTTCACACTTTCCTCTCAGATACGATACTTGCCCAGTTTCCGGTAAATCGGTTAAGCTAACAAAAATAGGGACCGTACGAAATCATAAATAATTCTTCACAAATTAATTCACCTGTGCATTACGTACATATGGCAAAAACTTACGGATTTTTCCCTTCTTGGAAAATCTCATCGTTGTCCAACAACATTCCCCTGACTATTTCATCACATTGCCCACTCAGGGTACTGTTGCACTTGTGTAAAAACTTCTCCACGTCCACGACGAACTAAACGATACGCAAGAATTCAATAAATCTTTCTTTCACTGATATAGTGAAATATCTCACTGATATTTCTACAACCATTTTACATCTGCAAGAAACCTTCCTTCTTTTACAAATTTTCGAGGGAATAATCTATCATCACCTCGACTAATAAATCTCTCCATGTGCAGATCTACAGTTAATTCTACAATTTTCATTGACAAATTCTGGCCTAGGCAACCGCCATGTTCGTTGTAAAATACATACGTAACGTTTTCCCTTTCTCTCCCTGGCAAACTAATCAGATACATGCCGACGAAGCAGTGTACGATTTGCATCATTTAAATCACACAGTTGTAGGGGTTCCAGTCCCGGGATTTTTCGGGATTTTATTCCCGGGATTTGAAGAAGTTTTTAGGCCAGTCCAGCCCATTTTTTAGGCCAGTCCAGCCTAAGCCTCGGCAACTAATAACTCTGTTCCAATTAAATGTTAATTCTGTACATAAAAAAAATTTAACGAAATATCTACTTACCTTTCCGCCAAAGACATCGACATTTAATGTGTAACTGAAACCCTATTCTATTAACTGAAAGATGTGATATGAATAAGTCTGTTTATGTACTTGGCGATTTTAACCTTAATAGCGAAAAGTCAATTAAGCCACTAATTACAACCTTAACACAATTGAATCTTACTTGCTCTAAAAAAGCATAGGTCATTACTCAGTGATATTGTTGTTCGATTAGGTGATAAACCGATTATAAGGGTACATAAAGTAAAGCTTTTGGGTGTTATTGATGATTGTCTTGAATTTAAGGATCATTGTAAGACCACTTTAAATGTTACTCAGTACGTACCATAGAAATATTGTTGTGAACTCCCTCATCATGTATATTATTAATTATGCCTCTCCAGTCTATTTAGTTGGTAATCAGAATATCAAATGTATCCAGAAACTCATAAGATCGTGTGCAAGATGTGTATTAAACAAGCGTAAATATGATAATATTACTGATGATATGTATATGGATCTCGAATGACTGAATGCGGACAACATAGCAAAGTTTGAAATATCGAAACTATCTTTTAATATGATAAACTGTCTATGTCCTTCTCTATTTAATAATGATGTTAATTATGAGGTAATACAAACTAGGCAAACGCGATCCGTAACACATGTTGAGCCAAATATACCGTGTAACTCAAAAATCTTGCTGATAAGTTTCAGGTATAGAGCGTCCTAAGTCATGATCATAGGGCGGATATGTATGTACTTAAATTCCTCAAAATATGTATGTAATATGTACTTAAAAAACGCGAAAATATGCACGTAAAACATATTTTTCAACCGAAATTTTCTACTATATTTGCATTTAATTTTCTAAAAGTTTCAAATTTGTAACACTCTTATTAATGAATTATTATGTATTGTATTTTAATATTCATGTAATGACCCGTAAAACGACATTAGCCATATTTAGAGATTTTCAGGGGCAATTTTATGACTTGAAAAATGGGGCAAAACGGATTTTCTAGTCGTTTACACGAATTAAACTCCGTTATCATGAAAGTATAATTTTTATCCAACTTTAACGTCTGAATGAAGAAAAATATTTTTTCCTCAGGAAATCCTGAAATATGCATTAAAATGTTTATTTTTAGAAAATGCTCGAAATATGTAGGAAAATATGTGTATTTACGAAAAAACCTCAAAATATGTATGAAAGTATGTATATGTACGAAAACCCTAAAATATGTAAAATATGGAAAACAATGTTTGAATTTTTGAAATCATGCTTCGATAGGATGTGTGTATACGAAGTTATAGTGAGATCTGATTGGGAATGAAAAAGTTAGAAATACATACATATCCGCCCTCTGGTCATGATCCATTTACCGAGTAATTTATTTAGTGGTAATATCAGTAAAAGTGCTTTAAAAAAAATTATCCAAGAAGTAGTTTATTGATAAGCAACGTGAAGAACGAATTATTGATATGTTTAATCTAATTGATAATAACGAAGAAATGTAACTGTGTATACTTTATATATAAAAATTGTTTGTCCTTGAAACGTAATGACCCAATCTTTGGGGTGTTTCATTGTATGAAATAAATAAATAAATAAATAAATAAATAAGAACTGAAATCCCGGGATTTTTCAATTCGTCATTCAGAGCTGAAAATTACTTATAATTTATAATTTTAATAGCAATTTTACATTATTTTCGGCTATATGATGATTGGTAAGAAAAGTTTCGATGACGTAACCATACAAATTGATCCTGGACTTGAAAATCGAAATGTTCAACAATATGGTTAGCCACATTTTTCTAACCCGTATACATATGTACATATATTTATACATATCTAAATTTTATAATTCAAAATGAAATTTATAGTTCAAGATCGAGCTTCAAATTCCCAATTTCGATGTTAGATTTCAACTTGAAGGAACTAAGCACGATTATAATCATAAAATCTTAAATCAGTTATGCTCAAAAATACTAACATGTTAGAAGTGAATTCGAATTTTAGCCGATGAATTTAAAGCTAAATTTAATGCGTTTTGCACAAAGTGGTTCATATATTTGATCTTCAAATTTTTGAATTGCTAAACTTCATATCCAACCGAAGTTTTTGAATAATGGTTCGCAATTTAGGCCAAATAATATAAGTACGTCAATTTGGGCATTTCGGGTTAGCCTTCTGGCGAATCCTTGGTTAATTATTTAAGATTTCTGGAATGAAATTGTCAAACTTTTTCATATCACATATCACCTCTCAAAGATAGAGGGCGGAAATTGGGCTACGCCGAAATACACCGAGATTTAACATTTTCAATAGCAGGCAAAACCATATAATCGCTAATTTGTATTGCTACCATATGTATTTTGAGTTGACCAGAAAATAGCATACTTTATAATAATATTCATGCATGCACAGAGCCCGAAAACATATAGAGGGTATTCATTATTTCTTCGTATCCTTAGTATTCTTCGTATCGTAAAATAACTTACGACGCTTACGAGATTTTGTAAGCGTCGCAAGATTTTCTCATCGAAAATCGCGTTACTACGCTTACGATTTTTACGAAAGCTGACCCCTTGTTTTACCTTCGTAAACTATTTTACGATACTACGGATACGAAGAAATAACGAATACCCTCATAAAGAGATATGTAAGTATTATAAATACGTTCAGACGCTGTACTTTTATAGCCATGTACCTTTTTGTATACCCAAATTTGACTAATTTGAAGTTATAAGGTGATATTTGAATTTCGGGAAAAAATTCCGGGATTTCCCGGGATTTATCACGCCAAAGCCGGGAATCCCGATTCCCGGGATTTCCAAAATCGTCCGGGATTAGGACCCCTACACAGTGGTACATATGCAAAAAGGATACTTTAGCAATTTAGATTACGATGTAACTAACAGATCGAAAATTTAGTATTAACTTATAGAACGCAACGCGTCCAATCAACCAATCTGGATGGAGAAAGAGGTGTTAATCAGTGTTAATTCTCAACACTGAAAAATACGTTGATCGTCATTCCAATGTCATGGTACAAATAAGTTAAACGGTGTCATAAAACTCCAGAGCAATGCTGAAGGATTTGGTTTGTAAAAAAGTATGCGTTGTTTTCAAGTTTATCCGAGAAGCAATGCATGACCATATACAAGGTTGCACTGAAACTTAATGCCATATAAGTAGTTTGCGTTTTATGTGCATCGACTAAATACTTTTCCATGTAATCTTACCATAGTGTTCCTAGCACTCCGAATTAATTCCTAGTTATCCTAGTTAATTTCTAGCACTTTTTTTATACGAAAAACCAGAATTCTGCTTTTGGTAAGTTTCCGAAGTAAATTAACAAGAAATGCAAGACCTGAGTCGAACCCCACATAACCTCTCTGCAACTGGGAGCATTTTTCAATGAAAAGTAACCAATGCAATTAGTGTCAACGAGAACTATGTAAATTGCTTTTGTGAAAAGAGTATGACAATATTGCCATTTAGATTAGCTATACGCCGAGAGCTTCGAACATTAGAAATTCAAATTCATCAGAAATTCATCAAAAATAATGGAGACTTGTTGCCAAATCCACCAATTGTATTAAGTAATTCAGTCGGGATTACTTTTCTTTGACAAAACTACATACCACGATTCTGATATTTCACACATTAACGAAAACCTTCTATAGCATGCTGAGTAAATTCTGGCCTTCCTAACGTCATTTCTTCATTAAGAATTGATGTTGGTATTGCAACATGACTTCGAAGTAAAAATTCGAACTCAATAATAGCCTTGCAAGCTCTCAAGTTTGAGACCACAATACCCATATTTACATATGTATGTGCGAACGGTATAGACGGATAGGATAGATGGATAAGCACATATGCTTATCCATCCACCTGTTAAAATTGTTTCACCATCAACGAGTTTTAAAGCCAATTTCTTACAAATTGCTTGCTATATTTTTTGCTAACGTTGCTGTCATGAAGACCCTTATTATTGACACATATACATATTGACTTAATTATAATAGGCTGAATTATTGTAGGCTTAATTATAATAACAACATAAGTTGAAGATTAGCTGATCAACGTCATTCCAAATTTGTATAATTTGTACCTATGTCTTAAACAAAATCATGTAAAAATAGTAAGGATATCTCCCTAACAGTTAACTAGCTTAAATATGTATGTGTACATACCCAAATCTAATAAAAGTACCATCTCGAAGTTGGTTCATTTAAGTAGTTACTTCTTAAAATTGAAGTTCGTGACCAATGACGGTAAGAGAATTCAATCTCATAGATTCTTACATACATACAAATACTGAAATATTTTTTCGAACAATATTCGTAAGGTTGTGTTTGCTAAAAATGTAAAGTCCTCTAACTTGTTTGTATGTGTTTCCTGAAGGTGTCCGGCGCAAACTCTTCCCAACATGATGATGACGAATTTATTTGAACGGATAAGAAATGTATGGTCCTCCAGCCATCCGGATGCGTAGATATGAGGAATGACACACGACTTAAGAGGACGTCGAATTCAGCCAAGGTTTCTGCACATATTTAAATACATACTTATTTATGTAAATGTTTGATATATTTAAGCAATTGTGAGATTTGTGTGACACCTCGTGTGAAAATATATCTGCCAAAAATGTGTCCCTTTTGTATAGAAAAATTTTTGCACAAACGCGGTTAGAATTATGAACAAGTTTGTTATGGTTTTTGCTATATGTGTACATACATATGTATGCAAATATATACAGCCTAAAAATCGAGATCAAAAATAATTGCAAAATGGACTAATTTTTAGAAAAGTCGAATGTCATACACACGTTGATGCACGAATTTCACGAGTTTTAACGCTATTTACGATTTGCATTTAAAATTAAGTATGTATTTTATACGAAATTATGCATTTACCTCATCAAGGTTACGACGTCATTAAGCTCAATAAGCTGGATGTGCAGGTTCGGGTGGATGGATCAGTTATGATTTCTGTAAAAGGATATTTTTTACACGTTCAAATACAATTTCAATAATCGTAGCACAAAATATCTTTCCGTCTATGTACTAAGAAGTTGACGCGAATACATCCATTGTGTGTTCTATTATTATGCGAAAAATGCATACTCTCTCGCAATCGATTCAAAATTTCAAATTATGCACGTTCGGTCCTGTAATTTTGTGTCTGTAGTAATGTCACAAGTGACAAATTAGTAATCAAATAATGACACAAAATAGTATCACCTTTCCACAATGGGGAAAAATTAAAAATAAAATGAAAAATTGTTGAAACTTACCCATCTATTGATTTTCTCCACAAAATGTGATTTTCTCGAAGTTAAATACGATTCAGTAGTTCTGTTAGCACTCACTTTTTATCAGTTTTATTTTTGACTGGATTATTTAATTTATGTGTTTTTATTAAATTTGTCAAATTATATTTAACCGTCTAGGAGACGGTCTCTCAGAAGCTATGCTACCTCGACTACATCTTCAGTGAGACTGAATCTTCAGAAACGTTGGACTGAGAAAGAAAGAAAGAGTCGGATCGGCGTCACTTATTGATGAAAGAGAGATCCATTCATTAATGTCTGAAACTTTTCTACCACAACCACTCGGAATTTGTCAGCAAACGTTGCCTTTTGATCTGTTACTGATATCCTGGGCAACTTTCCAAATGAACATCTCCCAAGTCGTTAAAGCTCTTTTGTCTGATTGTATGCAAAAGAAAGCGAGTGACTCCTCTTATTTATTTCAAAGCAGGGGGATTTAACTAGGGTTGCCGTTTTTATCCGAGATTATCCTATCCGATCGGATCGGATAATGTCGGATAGGATAAGGAAAAATACGATTCGGATATCCGTCGGATAGGATAATTTTTTTAAATTATCCGACTCGGATTATCCGATGTTGTCCGTCGGATATCCGACGGATATCGGATAATTTAAAAATGGGAGTTACGTATAATTTAGACACGTTGTATGTGCGAAAGTAAAGTAAAGATTCCATCTCCAAATGTATTTCATTTTCATCCATGGATATATTTACATAAGTAATTCCAGACAAATCTTAGTAAAGTTAGCAGATGTAAAATTATTATCATGTCAGACACAAAACGGTTCCCTTTGTGGTAATATATATAAGGTTATTTTCCCATTGCTTAGAGAATCAATCTATTTCTGTTGGTTCTTTAAAGTAATTAATTTGAATATTGACATTGTGATAAATTGAACTGATTACATACTGCGTGTCATACATATTCAAACTAATAAAGAAAAATGGAGACTTAAAGAAAGACGTTTGTCAAATATATACATATGTGTCACTTCTAATTCCTACAACTCCCTTAGTATATAGTTCAGTCAGTGGTCAGTGCACTTGACATAATTTTAAGAGCATATCGTCGACCTAATTCTAAAAAGCCCTAAGTGCAGTCGATGCTTAATTTTAAAAAGCCCTAAGTGCAGTGGATGCTTCATTTTAAAAAGCCCTAAGTGCAGTCGATGCTTAATTTTAAAAAGCCCTAACTACACAAAAAAAATTCTAAAAAGCCCTAAGTGCAAGCATGTATTTACTTATGGCTAAATCTTGACAAAACAATTCTTCCTACATCGCGCGATTTAGCCATAAGTAAATACATGCTTGCACTTAGGGCTTTTTAGAATTTTTTTTGTGTAGTTAGGGCTTTTTAAAATTAAGCATCGACTGCACTTAGGGCTTTTTAAAATTAAACATCCACTGCACTTAGGGCTTTTTAAAATTAAGCATCGACTGCACTTAGGGCTTTTTAGAATTAGGTAGACGATATGTAAATTGAATACCCGACAATTGTTGGCATTATTTGAAATTTTTATATGTATTTTCCTAATTAATTTGATTATCCTATCCTATCCGTCGGATATCGGATCGGATAATATTTCTGAAATTATCCGACTCGGATTATCCGAACAGTGGACTTATCCGATCGGATAAAAATTATTTTTATCCTATCCTATCCTATCCGATCGGATGGCAACCCTAGATTTAACGTCAGAACGGGAAGGATCATTGTGTAGAATTTGTTTGTGAGACAGGGGTCCAATTTTATGACAGTAGTTTTCATGGTATCTTCGTGAAGGGTGAATTTTGAGCTTTTCGTCAACCAGATACGTTGCCTTGTGTTGGCACAAAATGTTTCCCCAATCGGGATGAATCTCTTCATTACATACAATCGAGCAAATCTCATCAATGTGAAAGTGGCAAAATGCGTGGAAATGCATAAATATGTGTGCTTGCGTCTAGATACATTTCGTCTCCCTTGTCCACGAGCAGGACTTATGCACTTACTGATGTCGTAAAATCTTGTGCAACATAAATGAGGCATCTTGAGAAGTATTTACGACAGACAATTCTGCCCTCTCCCCTAAATTTCGTTTCGGATTTTATCAGCTGGAATAATTTAGAAAATTGTGTACTTTCCCGATTAAAATGGGATGGACTTTTTGATTGTTTCGTATGAAGAGTTTCTGCGTGAAACTCAACTTATATTTCTTATTAGTCACAAAATTACTAGAATGAGACTTTTGCGATATTTTGAAAGTGTGTTGTTTTCAAGCAGCCCAAGCTTGTTTATTTCGAGATCCAATAGAAATATATGCAATAGTATTTAGGAATATGCACATTTAAATGCGTAAATATTAAGAAAACCATATTTTATATTCAATAAATATCCATAATAATAATTTTAGAAGCTCTAACATTGGAATAATATTAAGTAATGTCTGAGCTGCATAATGTACACACACACATACATATGCATAAATACACTCTCCGAAAAATGTTTACCGGAATCATTACCCCGTGTAGTCTATATATGACTCTACTGCTGTGGTAATGGGTTAGTTACCGCGCGGTATTTAACAGAAAGATTACCATCCCGGCATTAACGTATTACTCCACAATAATATCATAAATATCATGCAATATGAACCTGCAACTGCACGCAGTAATGAAGTAATATTAGCCAGTAATGATATTATGATAAATGTATAAAGATGCTTATTACTGGGTGGTAAATAATCAACACCGCACCATAATCATATTATTATCGTTTGCTTATCGATATTTATTATTATGGTAATAAATGTTTCACTATTTCGGTAATTATTTTGATTATTTATTGTAATAATTCGCAATAATTAAACTACACAACTTAATTAAATACAAAAACCAATCAAGTTATATATAGCCTAAATTACAAATACATATATTTTTACAAGTAATGCCTTAAAACTAAATGAAAAGCATCGGTATTACAATTTTTTTGAAACTCAAAACATTCATGAACAATTAAATTAGATATATCCACAACTTCAAACAAATCATTTGTACGTGTAACAATATAGGAAAAATAGTGTCTGTCAAAGAAGTCTACATTTAGCTTTTTCAAAAATAACAGGCATCTGGTTTCATCAATTAATATTAGGTCCTGAATTACACCAAAATTTGGAAAAATATTTCCCATTCCATAGCAAACAACATAATCAATTTTGTATTTATAATTACGATACCAGACCTTATTTGCTGTATAAACTTTTGTATTTCCGTCACATTCTTTAAATATGTCAAACTGTCTTAATTTCTCGATTAAATCAAAAGACTCAGCAAATTCATACAAATTAGATACTACTATATTATCTGCCCTAACCCCCTCATTAATTTCAATAGTTTTTAACAAATGAGAACTATACTGTTGATGCCTTTTAGCCAACGATGAACAAATATTACGAAAATTTCTTATTTGTCCTGCTAATTGAGAAAAATAATTATGTTTCCCCTCATACCGCATGGCCCACATTGATACTAATGGCCCACTTTGCCTAATGACAAAAGAATAGTGACACATTAAATGGTGCTTGGGGATAAGTTTTTGATCTGGGAACAACTTACGAAATAGATTATGATGGCTAACTATTTTTGCATCTAATAATAACAAAGTAGATTCTGAAAATTTCCGACAAAATACATAGCTCAAAATCTCCAAAAGTTGCAATAAAATTTCCCAATATTTTTTTTGCTCATTACTAATAACTAAATCCCCAATAATCACTGGTAAATACCGAATCAGACACCAGGCTTGAGAAGCTTTTTGTCCAATTTTGTTTCCCGATCCTTCTAGTCGTATTGGACTTGGGCGATTCTTTGATTCTAAATAGCCAAAATTATGGGCCTGAATTCTTTGATTAATTAAATCTAAATCAAAGCACTTTAAAGATATTAATTTTTGTAAAACTAGTTTGATTTCGTACGGAACGACACCTTCCAGTAAATCGTGCATAATGTCAACAGACGGACTATCTAAAAAATTAAAATAATTAAGTTGATTTAAAATACATTCAGTTTGAACACCAAAAGATTTGTCACTTAAATGATTGGCATAATTACTTTTGTCCCTGACTATCATTTTGCTATGCTCAAATATTTCTTGTGCTTCACTTTTAGATGTACAGCATATTCGACAAAAATAATGGGAATTAAACGACTCATTAAATCCTAGCAAACTATTTCCACCTAAGTTGTCAAACGCAAGAGAACACAAAGTACCAAAAATTCTATCAGATCCATTTACCGATATGCCCACTTTCTCAAGATACAGGAAATCTGGAATTATTAATTTCAGAATTGAATTAATACCATACTTTTTGGCATCCTCCGAATAAAACAAGGCTAATAAATGTATTGAGCTAAGTTGGGAATTAATATAATCTGGAAGATTTTTAATAGTAAAGTAAAACGCTCCCAATTTGTGAATTCCTCGTTTTGAGCCAAGGGGATTGACTGTTTCAAAATCATCATAGAAAAGTTGAATTTGAATAGAATTCGGGTTCCTTGAAAAAAGACAATTAGTTTTAAATGCAACTGTATCTTTAAATGACTCGATTGAATTGGAATTTGAAGGTACAACTTTTGAAAAACACTGATAAATATCTGGAGATGAAACAAGTTTTTCTAAACTCTTGAGAATTGGTACATACATAAATGTATCTGATACAATAACTTCTTGACGTTTGTTATCTCTCACCCTTTGCTCCAGCCTACTTCCTAACGAATATTCTTTTGGCATAATTATTTGGCTATATTTTTCTAACGCTTTCTGTCGTTTGTAAATAGAATTTACGTGACTGAACGCTTCTATTAAAGATAGCGACTGGCAACTAAAGTCCTCAAAATTTTCTTTGCAAAATTTGTTGCTTATCCTTAAAATTAATTTTGAAATTTGAAGAAACGAATTTTCAAACTCTTTAACAACAAAGTCCACAGTTGAATTGGTAACACATGACGAGCAGAATGAAATTAAAATATCTTTCATTACGTTAATTCCTAAATTGGTAGTAATATCTGCTTGTTCATTAAATTCAGTTAAATTGGGATCATTACCTACGTCATCTAAGACTGGATCTACTAAATTAAGTGAGGGAGTTAAATTTTCCTCAAAATTCTTATCATAATTTTCAGAATCTAAAACAATTTCGTGGGACTTAAAATGCCTCAACAATCCACTCCATGTACATATTTGTGTGCTACAAGACTGTTTAGGACATATTGTAGCTGGAAAATTTGCCTCACCGTAATTATGAATGCACCTAAAATGTACTATAATCTCTCTAAATTTACAAAATACTTTTCCACATGGACCACAAGTATACATTTTAATTTGTCGAGGAATTTGACGTTTGAAGATAAGTAGAAATTTGCTGGAACACTTGTTTCACTTTTCTTGATAGCTGAGTAGTTGTTTCAAGTTGAAAAATGTGTACTTGAATAAACTTCCAAATTCCGGTCAAATTTTTGTCGTATTCTGTTCCAATTACGTAATGAGCCTTAAACAGGGAATCGATTGCCTCGGTTGAAGTTCTTGCGTTGATTGGGAGGAGGATTCGATCACAAATTATGTAGAAGGACGTCAAATTGGAGTGGTCCTCGCCTAGTACAATGAGCGCTGGTTGGGAAGTCTCAAAATTCCAAGTGTCCACAATTGATTTCAAGGGCGTTTCAGCCTATTTAAACACATATTTATTAAAACTGTCCCATATCGTTTAGCTGACCCTCTTAAATTATTCCCGCGCTTACCCGGTAAAAAGTAACCAACTTTAACTTTGCGTCGTCAATTTTACAGCGTCCCCCTTTCCCTCTCCCTTGAGCGCTTGGAGGAATAAGGTGTAACAGAACAAATAGAGCTGCTATTGATTTGTCCCAATTATCTGTGACAACAAAACAGTGGTTAGCAATTTATTTACGAAATTTATGATTATTAGATTTACGGAAACACTTACCATAATTATTGTTTGCGAATTTCAATAGGGCTGGCGAATTACTTAAAGTTTTGCAGTGCGCAATCAATCGGTCAGCAAATTCCGGCCACGTGTTTAGAAAGTTTTGTTCAAGGTCAGGAAACATTAGCGAAAACTCAAAATTAACCTGAACAGAAGTATTAATTGTATATTTATGACATGCGTAATTATTAAAATTAAGTTAATAATTCAAACCAAGTAGGAACATTCCGCAAATTTTGAGTACACACGTAGCACTGATTGATCGTTTGACCGTCTTATCTGGTTTCTGTGTTCAAAAGTTTCCTTCATGAGTGATACAATTTCACCTTTTTTAGTGCTTGAATTTAGGGCCGCCGTTAATTCCAAGTTGGGGAAAACCTCCTCTGCGCCTTTCGCTATTTTTGGCTTTGGGCCACCTTGACTTTCTTCTTTTTTCCGACGCCTCGTATCAACTTCCGGTTTCCTAATGTTTCTGTGAATCCACTTGAGTCGTTGTTGAATTAGGCCAGACCGGTTAATTTCATCATAAAGAATATCCTGCAATTTACACAAGACATTTTAGAATAATTTTTTTAGTAATTATTGTTACGAAAATTTATTTGCAATAGTAATTTACAATTCCGTCTGGCGTTCCCGGATATTTCCAGAAAGGCAGAATTTCAACAATCGCCTTTGCAAAAGATATCTGGTCTCGAGTGCATGGTGAGTTACTACATAACAGAAAATATTATTTACAAACAGCAAGGAACTTATTTAAAAATAATTACCCTTTTAAGTCTACCAATTTCGACACAAACTCGTTAACAATTATTGCCGCCGCTGAGTTATCGACGAGGGACTTCTCTCTGCACTCCAAGATTAGATTCGCCAAACGCGGCGTCTTCTCGACATATTCCTCTAATATCTAATATCGAAAAAAATCAAAAATTGTAGTTACTATGTACTTGTTAGAATATATTGAGCTGATGAACTGTTTACCTGCTTAAATACATCAACGTCACCAAGTCCTAATGATGGCGAAACTGGTGATGGCGCCGGTGAACACAATGGACTTGGCACTACAAAATTATTAATTATTATTAATTATCAGGTCATATATTAATTCCTGGAGGTATTACTTATCTATGTAGTACTTACAATAATAAATTTGAGGACTGGAACCGGCGTCCTGAATTGCGCTTACTGTAAAGTCCTCGCCTTGAATTCGAAATGTAATATTCGGTTTTTCTTCCTCCCATAAAATTGGAAACACATCCGCATCAATCTCGGCACCTTGGTCGTCTTCGATAAGTATCTGGATGTCGTCAGCAAGCTCAAACTTTATTCTAACTGTAAAATAAAGTTGCTAAATTAATAACTTAATTGAGATAATCTGCATTGAATTAATTAAATCAACAAAATCTTATCAATTTTTTCACTTGCGAATTATATTTATCTAATTAATCATGCTGACTTACCTTTTGTTAGAAATTCCTCGTAGTTATTGGAGCTCACTATTGCTTTCTTTTGATGTAAAGAATTCGAAACACGAATTAATTTATCTTTTTTGTCGCCCATTTTGTCCTCCTCGTGGTGTTTGTCGTGTGAGAGTGCGCAACTTCTTTCATTACTTGAATTGTGAAAAATAAATACCAGTGCGGTAGAATGGCAATACCGCATAAAGATTCAAATACATTACCCGGAAAATAAAGTGTTCATTATGGGGCAGTACTATACAGTTTTCTTTTTTCGTAATGAATACATACCGCTTGGTATTTTTAGCTTACCGATTTTAATCTTAGCGAATTTATCAACCCGTAGTGAACCAAAAACTTTATTAATAATAAAATTCGGTAAACAAATAATTACCGTTTTTGGTATAATTCACAATTACCAACCCGACAGTAATGATGGTCATTAAAACATCATTACCACACTTCGGAGAGTGTATTCATACACAGAACGAACCTTAAAAAATCCGTACCAATATATGCATGTATCACAACTTTCAGATATTTATATTGGTATCGAGGTACATACGAGCTACTCTAAATAAACTTGTGCATAATTATAACACGCTTCTGATAAAGTGTGCACTTAGCTAGATAATATGATCCACCACTGCAGAATTCTTAATTTTATACAAATTTCCTAAAAGTGCATTACGCATTTATGTATAAATAAAAACATATGTGTGAACATATTTTAGGCATACTTAAAGTATGTATGTAATTACTCGAGTCTGAATTACTGGGCAGCATCTGAATGAAGCATATTATTGATTTTGACGTCAGCCAGGACCCGAAGGAAAGGTACATTGACCCATGCAAACAATTAAAATTGATGCCCTGTCAGGGCATCTATACTTGCTCTATCCCTTTATTACATGTGTAAACTACATATGCATGCATGCATAGCAACAGTACAAATGTACATACACGTAAATAAAAACAGGAAGTTGCTACCTTCCCCCTTTTTGCATATGCATTTCCCTTTCCCTTTCCCAGGTTAATAATGCGACACGATTTTGCACTCCTGACTATTACTCATCCTTCGATTTATGAAATCTACGTGTACTAATATTTCTCTAGTCCATACCTAGATACTCAGATACGTACATACTTTCCCTCTCACATTTACACATAAATACACCAAACAAATTGAATACGATTTGCAGAAAATTTTCACCACCAAATCAGCGCTTGTGGTATGTAATAATGGGGAAAAGAAAGCGGAAAAATATCAAGTTAGCTGTAAAAGATAATACTGATTCTGCTCTGATTGCCCCAATCAAAAAAGAAGAAGAAATCTCGTTAAGTGAAGAAGATTCTTCTCAAGAATAAAATACAGATCCAGACGAAGATGAAGAGGATTTAGAGCCCTTATTCGGATCCATGCAGGTCCTCTTGACCCTCGGCTGGTGGCTATTTCTCGTACCATTTAAGCGAGTTGGGAGATATTCGTACGTCCTTCCACTGCATGGCGTAAGATAAGATAATTTACATACGAAATTGTGATCAAATACATACATACACATTTGTTTTTTATGCAAATTTTCAACCCTTTTGCATATGATGTATTCAATATTAGAAATCTGGCATATTTAGTCGCGCAGGCACTGATTTCTTGGTATTAAAATTGCTACCATTTGGCATTAAAATTATAAATATCAATTCGTAAAGATGTTTTACTGATGTTGTGGAACGTGAATCTTTAATAACCGAGCATGACATTAACTAAAAATCTGAGTATTCACAATTTTTGTGTTTGTATGAATTATTTCATTTTAATTTTTTCCCAAATCAAAATTTTAGGCCATAATTTTCTGTACCACCATGGCTATCTTGCAACCCTGGGATTTGCAGCGTCTTGCCAAATTCACACTACAAGTAAATCTCAACGAGGATGGAATACATGGAATTTTTATAATCCTTATTCGACTGGGAATACAACTTTACATTAAAGTTTTTATAATATACATCGATCTGCTAATGTGGCAAGTCTCCACCGGCTTAACCGCACTGGCCGAGAATTCCAAAAAGTTTTGCCGGGATAATGGCGAAAATAAGATGAAGAACCTAACAAAGGTATTTATTTAAATTAAATTAATACTTTTGTAACTTGGTAAAAACTAATTTTGTAAAAATTCTATCAGTCCGTCAACCACATGATGAGGACAAATTGCGTTGTCGACAGGCTCAACGAATTATTTGGACCCCTGATTCTCGTTGCCTGTGTGCGTTTCCTTCCCTCAAGCCTTACATGGGGTTGCAGATTGTTTCTGGGAGACTTCTCCGTGGAATGTATACTGAAAATATATCTAAGCCTTCACTTTCTCATGTCGGGAGCGAACTTTAAGATGGTAAATTCCCATCAAAATTACTGTTATCATATAAAGAATGACTTAGATATTTGTATTTATTTTCTTTCTAGTCCGAAGAAATACTGAACAATTTGCACAACCGGATTCATGAGAAGCCTACAAGAAGTCAAAACTCTAAACGAACAAATGACAGAATCCCAACGAATAAATGGGACTGGTTAAAATTGGACTTAAAATCTTTAAAACCGGTAGCAATGGATGTATTCGGTATATTCCAGCTGGATACAGACTTTACATCTACGGTAAGAAGGCAAATAAGTTGATCGTGGTGTATATTGTTGATTTTTATGTATGAATATGCAGCTCGCAACAATTACGACTGTCCTACTCTTCTTAATTTTGGGACAAGTTTTCGCCCAAAATTTTGTCCTCGTGGGATCCTAGGCAAATATTTGTCATTTTTAAATACATGAGTTGACATACATACATAAAAAAGTGTTTAACATGAAGTTTTTTACATAATTTATCTTTGAAATTATTTAAGTATGCATAAAGTATTTGACTATGGCCAAATATTTTAAAGAATTATTATTAAATACATACCAGTGAAATAAAATATGTACATGGTTTATATTAAAGCTATTTTTAATGTAAGTCGTTAACCAGTAAAATTGCACTTCTTTATGTATGTTTAAAATTTCTTTAATTATCTACATAAATTTGCACCTTATTTCCAGTGGGGTGCGAAATTTTGATCCTCTGTAATGTGATTCGTCGTCATTATCGTAATTGGCTGGCACGTGCCAAGGTTCTGTTTATAACTCACTGACAAGGGACACTCACGACCTGTCGTTTGAGTCCAGGGTACCCACTATGTTTTTTAGAATCTACTAGGACCCAAGATGAAGGATTCATTCATATTTCCGTGTAAAACTCATATTTGGCGCCATGGCGTAGCGCCAAATTCGCCAAATTTGATGGTTTTTCATTTTAAAACCGCCAGAACTTTTGAAATCCTGGACGGATTTTCAAAATTTTTGGCAAAAATCATGACAAGGAGTTCAACTTTCGTATTTTATGAATTTTTTTCCAAAATTATCGCTTTTAACTTTTCGCAAAATTTCGAAATTTCGGGTTCGTCGAAAAAATGATAAAATTATATAAAAATATTATAAAATTAAAATTAAAATAAAATTATAAAAAATGGTAAAAATATCTCAAAAATTAAAATTTTTTTATTTTTATTTTTTTCTCTAAAATTTGGACTTTTCTGATCATTTTAAGCATAAAATTTAAAAATCCGACATAAACTGCAAAAGTTATGGGGGTTTGAAGTTGGTCGAAAATGCAAATTTTTAAGTTTAGCGCCACGCCATGGCGCCAAATATGAGTTTTACACGGAAATAAGAATGAATCCTTCATCAGGGGTCCTAGTAGGTTCTAGAAAACATAGTGGGTACCCTGGACTCAAACGACAGGTCGTGAGTGTCCCTTGTGAGATAAAAAGTCATTTGGCATGGTGAACTTTGCTTATCTTCTCACATATGTAAGTATTTATTTATATATTTAGTTATCAATTATCTAGTACATAATCATGTGTCATTTCATATAATATGTTAAGGAGTATGAGCACCTTCAACCTTAAACACCTGAACATATAATTTCTTTATTACCATCATATCCTGATTTGTGTACTTAACGGGTGTACTCATTTTCTTTTGATATCACTAAATTGAAGAAGACTAATTGTATTGCTTGTTGTGGACTAAACGATGTACTGATAACGTTGTTTACTCTCATGTGCTCTACGAATTAAGAGTATTAGCATAATTGTCATCATATTTCCATTTAGTATGCATACATTTTCTATAGATATATGCATAATTGTAACATCATTATAAATTTGCTGACGAAATGTTCATCAAATATTTCATGACATTGTAAATATAAATGCATTTGTGCCTACAACTGTGTCTGTCTTCATTTGGCAGATGACACAAAAAGTCCCATCTGATCGAATTAAAGCTTATTTAATTAGCTAATGTCTAAATAATTAATTCGTGAAAAATATCGCATATCACATTTCCTATATACTATACTGGCGAAGACCTCTTCTTTTAAAAAATGTGTTACTACACCAGTTTCGAGTTGCACCTTAAAGTTTTAAGAATTTTGAGTGGCACTGGTGTATCACCACTGCGAGCCGGTGTTGCAATAAGGTCAAAAACCAAAGCGTATCAAGCTCTGCAAAAACCAGCAAAAAAATCGTCAACCCCCAACCCCTCCGACTTGAAAAGCTCCCTCAGTATTATTACCGAATCTAAGCAGAGTGCCGACCAGCACTTCACATTTCCAGTTTATACAGTTGGAAGTTATCGAACAGCTCCGCCACAATTTTGGATCATGCTGTCGTTGTTTTACTTCTCGTTATTTTACGCGGTCACAAAATTAGTACTTTTTGTCAAGGCGGATGAACAAGAAGAACTGGGGGATGTGAAAATACCAGAAAGGGACAAGATTCGAAGACCCATCTTCATCGTGGGGTCATTCGTTTGGACGATGTACACTTGCACGTGCTGTGCGGTCTACTTTGTCCATTTCTTCAAACATGAAAGACTCTGTGCTATGCTTCTCAAATGGCAAATTTTGGAGGGAGAGCTTATTTCAGGTTGAGAATTATTACAAGCACACTTAAAAATAATGTTCCCCTTTTTAATAGAGTGAACTCTTAATTCTAAATTAAGCGAACTACACTAAATTCAGAGTAACGTTACAAAGATAAACAAAAAGGTTTAGAATGAATTTATATAGCAAAATTTAATTAATTGCAGAACACATAATGTATTGTGCATTTATTTTTAATAGTGAATATATAGCTTGAATGGCTTGTGTAACTAAATAATAAAATACCCTTCTTTGTACAGAGTCTAAAGCCATTCAAGCAACGGAGGACAGTGTGGCATCATTTTTAAAACGACAACGAAACGGGCTGATCACTTTCCTTTTAGGATTTCCATTCTCCTTTGCCTTCTTGGGAGCTGGAACCACGTATTACAAAAGATTCCCGATGAACATGTTTTCCAACTTTGCTACAGGTTGGGAGCAAGACAGGTTCTGGATAGAGCCGGCGTGCTTGATAATTTCATGGATACAAGTCGGGTAGGTATATGCAAGTATTTTTCCATTGGACAATACGATAATCAGCTTATTTGCTATGGACCTAATCACGTCAACCTTTGAATGTCTCTAAATTAGCGCTTAGCAATATAACATGCAAAGTCTGACGAAAATAGTTTTGCCAAGATTTGGCAAAACTCTTGCTGCAAAACCATAGGATATTTTTTGCAAGGTGGCACAGCAAATATATGTATATGTACGTATGTAAGCTGTTTTTATTTCACAAACTCATACTCACTAGCAAGAGAAGTTACAGATAGTGAGGAAAACAAAATCAAAATATGTGTTTTTAGAGATAAATTTAATTTTTCAAGCCAATAGTTTGGAATCTCAGAATCTCCTCATTTTGTTAATACCTATGTCGATATTTTCTCTGAATTTTATTTGTTTAATTTTTGATTTTTATAATTTTATTAGTTACTTATGATTTTTTTAGCTTCGCAAGTTTTCCAAATGAGCTACGATACGGAATAAGACGTTGTCGGGAGTGCACTAAATTTATGTAAATATTTAGATTTCTACAGAATTTCTCAATATTTTTTTTACTCTCCACAGAATATTTCTCCTTTGTGAATGCCAAACCGAGCTAGTTGCCCTTGCTTTCACTCGAAGTATGTCCAGCTGTCTTAAAATCTTGAGCCAACCAGCCACCGATTTCCACCGGAGACACATCGAGTCCAAACTTAATCCAAGCTATGGACAACACGCCGGTTACATCCATATCACCGAAAAAGCCCACCTGATCGAAATATTTCACGACTCTGTGACCCGATTCGAACATCTTAAAAGCTTAATCGACGACTTTAATTACATCTTCTGCTGGCCACTCTCCACTCGAAAAGCTTTCACCATGGCGAAAGTTTGCTGTTACGTGTATCTCTTGCTGAAGCGACCAAAAGATTCTGGATTTCCCACGGCGTTTGTGTTTTTCTATGCTCCAGTCGCTATTTTTGCAAAATTTGGTGTAATTTTGAACAGCATGGGAGAAGTTCAGAGAGAGACTAAAAATTTTGTGAAAGAATGGAGCAAAATATTATTGCTGGTGCGTCCTAGAAAGGCTGACGTGATTGAGGAGGAGAGAATGTTGAATAATTGTTATCCGTTCGGGTTTAAGATGGGAAATTTTTACACAGTTAATCCCCAGACTTTATTAACATTTTGTTCCGTCGTTTTAACATATCTTATTATTTTGTTACAGCTACAGCTTTTCTAAAATTTAGACTCTGTAGGAAAGGGATGAACATAAATATGTATTGCAAATTATTCATGGGCTTACGTATTTTGATTGATTGTATGTACATATGTAAACGGAAATATTCAATGCACTTTGTTATGCAAAATTGAGGCCATTCATCACAGTAATTTTATGTAAAGCTGAAAACAAATTCAGATGAAAAGTTCGCATAGAGACCTAAGCATACAAACAAGTATGACATGTTACCAGAGGTGTGCAAATGAGTCCCACATTAAGCATGTCATCGATTTTGACCGCTACCCCTCGTGTGACCTATGTATCCACATACATATGTCACATGTTATAATTAACATACGGAGCATATCATGGCCCGTGCCCCTTCAAATCGATCACATGTTTAGGATTTCCCGAGCATGTCATGTAAACTCTATCAAACAATTTGTCAGGGAATTGTCCATAATAAATCAATGATGTTTACAGATCGATCGTACATATGAAACCATTCACTTTAGTTTAATGCCGTCTTGCATGAAATGTATGTAAATATGACATGTTTTTTATGCAATAATAATAAAACAGCTATGTACAACTTATCCATTATGTAAAATTATACGTGATAGATAATTCAAAATCCAAGTGTTTAAAGAATAAAGTTATGTACAAGCGTTATGCATGTATTTATTTATGCATATGGTCAAGCCAGGTAAATATTTAATTTATAAAATATTCAATGTACTTGACATTTTCTAAAATAGATAAGACTACAAAATCATAAACTATAAACATGTACATATGTATTTAAATGTTCATGAAAGACCAAACAAGTTTTTGATGCATATTAGTGAATTTTTTAATAACTTTCTTCTCTCATGCAAACCAATCCAAAATCTGTGCTAAAGTAAAATCAAAAACCGAATTACAATCAAACAACATCATTTTAGTACTTAATATTATTTGGAAACATTTATTTCTGCCAGGGTTAATTTTCTCTGCAGAGAAAATTTCCAAACACAATACCATGGTATTGTGTTTGGAAATATCCTGACTTGTTTAATATGCATATGGTTACTGCAAACGTACCATGAAATGGTGTCAAAGACCCAATTAGACCGTGACTTTCACACATCTCACATTTTACACATTCGTCTGTATCCAATTTATGTACAGCTACCAAATGCTTGTACCTAAACCTTGCATTTGAGATTTTATGTACATATATGCGATGCCACGATACGATCTCGAGCGTACGTTATGTACGTTGAAAATATAAATATGCTGCGATTTAGGAACGGGGATTTACCCACAATGCTGGAGATTTAGTATGTATCAAGCTTTTGATAAGTTTGTGGAATCTGGTATAGTTTACTATGCCAGATGTCAAGCTGTGTCTAGAGAGAGTCAAGTTGCAGGGGAGATTTTGCTTCTCGAGATTTATCGTCTGATCTTTCTCTCCCAGGATTGGGAGCAACAAGGTCTAGTCATTAATTAAATGGATTGTACCACAAAGCAAAGGGGATATTAGTAATGCGAATGGTGTACATAAATAGATAACTACATGTATTCTTACAACGATGGAGGGTATGCGTTTCTACATTGTCATATAAAAAAATGAGACTTGTAATATCTATGTAGATACATAAGTGTATTTATGATAAGTCTCAACCTGCCTCCATTTGTTGCGTTTGGATTTTTTAGACACACAAACACCAGGAACCCGACACACATAATTGCATATGCATATTTTTTCGCACTTAACTTCAAAAATCATAATTAACCAACATTTCATGCACAAAAATTTTTTGCTGAATATGTTTAAGCACTTAATTATTAATTCACAACTGGCTTAATCCATTATTCAATTTAATTACTCAGCCATACATAAATTGCCTCATTCACAACGAATAGATATCAACACACCCATGTATTTTCCATGTGCAAAAGAATGCCATAAAATGCCTGACCTTTTACCAATTCAAATATGTAGGTACCGTGCAAAAATCATGTGATGGATTTGGGACCAAGGAATCAAATTTTTCTCATGGCAATTATTGCATACGCCATTTTCACCAACTATGGTTCCAAATTCCACTAAAATCTCCCCCATTCTTTCCGCACATCCCCACAAACGCCCACCATTCAAACTTAACTACACAAAGATAATAAACTTTCCTCCATCCAGTATGTACATATGTACACACCGCGTGGCAGATTAAGCAAACAAAAAATCGAATGAATACGTATGTATATACACAGCACACCCGAATTTCCTCGCTTTTACCCAATATCGATCCGAACATCCGGGCAAAGAAAGTACATACAAATGCCCAGTAAACACATGGCCCGCAATTCTCGTCGCTTTCCCAACCTCACGTTCTGCAATGTACACAAGCCCAACCACATCGCACTTTCTCAGCTTCATTCAAGTCACTAATTTATTTAGTTCCGGATAGCATTTGTCCCTCTCCATTAGCAAACTATTGATTTGACCCAACCCAATTTCTCGGAATAACAAACTGCACCCAGCCATCCAGCCAGTCGTCGATACGTAAACGTCACACGAAGCCGAGTTCGTCCCCGAAGTCGGATTAATTTAAATTTAAATTGACAACTTAAATAGTAAAGAACGAGCCGCTTAAATACATAATTATGTCGGGAGGTGCATATTTTCACCATGGGAGACCCTCCAGTCGAGGTGGAGCTTCACCCTTGATGTTGGGTGGATATCGACAATGGCGAAGTTGGACGTCGGTAGATTCCTCGCCGGACAGTGACCACTTGACTGGCTCGGCGGAGCCGCCCTCGGTGCGGATAATTTTGGATAAGTCGTCCACGACCCCGATTTCTGACCAAATTTCGGGATGGGTTGAGCTGAAGAAGAATGAGACTTATTGTGGTGAGTATTTACATAATTAAACCGTTTTACATTAGGAGCTGGATTTGCAAATATTTTGTGCCAAAAACATGTAAGCTGAATGTTCTAAATTTCTCGGATAATCGGGTAATTTAATAATTATTCTTTCAACATTGAATCATTATTTTAATACTTGACTTTTTGATTTCGCAATGCATTAAAATTCGAGGTTTTTTGCGAAATTTAAAAATTTATTTTCATTTTAATGTAGGTATCAACTATGCATACACACATATGTAAACATGAAATGTTGATAACCTTGCAAGTTTTACAAGATTATCTAGTGTATAAACTTCAGAGAATAGTTCTGTAATCGATAAAATCATCATTTTGGTCAAATTTGCAAAGTGGGTTTACATACACTACAAAAAGTTAAAGGATATTTCAAGCTAATTTTGTTTATGAAAGTTTGCCATTTACGAGGTTTACTAACGACGTGTTATTATGGGTTGTGAGCATTGACTCGTGATGAAATGACGTCCTTCTAAGTTTATGCAAGTTGACAAAAGATATTTACTGGCATATAGCCTCTTAATAAATATACTAAAGTTTGCGGGTTTACGAAGTTAGAAATCCACGCGTAAATCTCCTCACTTTGCTCTAAATGCATAAATCAATGGTGGATTTAAATTCTATTTTAAAATTAACTGTGATTACAATAATACATAAGTATTATTATTTTTGCAGGTTTGATCGTTGAGCTGATCGGATTTTATTCCAATTCTGACGCATCCTACCCAATCTTGCCAACAAATAGTTGCAAAATATTCCAAAGGTTTTCCGGAACCGGGGTGAAGGGGGACACGTTGACGTCTCGAGCTTTGTCTAAGTTCCCCTTTGAACTCAACCTACCAACAAATTGTATACTCCCACCCACATTTAAGACCAAACTGGGTCGACAGGTGCAGTACTACCTGCGCGTATCAGAAGAACGAGGAACATCAGAAAATCCTCAGTTGGGAAGGAAGGTATACCTCCTTATTACATAAAACCGTAATTACTTGACGTGAAATGGTTGATATTTATTTGCTAAATTTCTTTCTCAAGTTACCGACTTGAAAAAATACCGAAAATCAATCTTGAATTTGTGTCTACTTATTTTTACAAAGTACCGTAAATACTCTATTTATAGCCGGGGCTAAAATCCAAAATTGAGGGTCACGGACCCGGCTAAAATTAGAGACCGGCCATAATTAGAGACCCGGCTAAAAAAATTTTTGCCAAAAATTTTAGATGTTACTAGATCATTATTACTTAATTTGATTTTTCTTATTTAGCAAGATATGCCATCAGCATACGTCGGATATGAATGAAAAATGACTTTTTCCAATTATTGACCTACAGTCGCCAAACTTTCTGAGAATGTTTATGGCCACTAGTAGGTCACGTAGGTCAAAGCATGTTTTCTCATATTGGTCATATTTTCGGGTTTTAGGACATATTCATATTCCTGATCATATTTCGGGTTTTTTTCGTTCATTTTACCATTTTTGGCCAAATTCTAAGATTTGACAACCAAATCGACACAAAATGACAAAAAATTCAGTTTTCTCACAATTATTCATTGTGAGAAACTTTCAGAAATTTAGGTTCACTTTCGCATCAGGTGATTTAATTCATTGGGAATGAATTAGATCACCCCAGAAATTGTTTAATTGATAAAAATTGAGCATTACAAGAAAGTATATGAAACAATTAAGCCAAAAATTTGAAAAATAAAGTCATTTTTTTGGTCATATTTTAGAGATTTTTACGGTCATTTTTCATTCATATTTTGAGGTTTTATCGGTCATTCATATCCGAGGTCTGGCCATCAGTAACCATTCACCTTAAATCTACATCTTTAAACGAAGTTTAGCAGGTTTTTAAAATTTTTTGTTATGATTATATCCATTATTTTCTTGAAATTAATAGGTAAAGATTAGTAGTTCAACTTATTTTTTGATTAGCATAACGTGCAACATTTTTCTTGAATGGGCTATCAACGGGGACACAGCAGACCGAACAGGCCATAATTAATTAGAGACCCGGCCATAATTGGGGACCCGGCTATAATTAGATACCCGGCTAAAATTTTGAAATCCTGGTCTCTAGACCCGGCTATATTTGGAGACCGGCTATAATTAGAATAGGGCTATAAATAGAGGTTTTACGTAAATAATTTGTTTGGTGAAAAATCGCACTATTGAGTTCGTGTATGTAAATACATCCTTACATATTCATAATCCCACCTTAATCAATTATGCACTCTTAGAAATTATGTTGCCCTTTTGAAAAGTAATCGCATTTTTAATTCTAAATTAAGTAAACTACACTAAATCCAGAGTTAGCTTTAGTGTTTATCAAGTCAACGTTCTAGTGTGACTTACCAGATATAAAATTTTAGCCTTGTTGAAACTTACTCTCTTAAAAATAATGTTACTTTTTTAAAAGTAAATGCGCTTTTAATACTTTATTAAGTAAACTATACTAAATATAGAAAACTCTACTCTTATCTTTAGTTAAATGAACACTACTCTTGGATTGGCATGGGGTACTTTATTAAGAATTTAGGGTGAATTTACTTTTAAAATGGGTAACTTTATTTTTAAGTCTGTATTGTTACACTTTCCTTCCAAGCCCTGTTTTCAAACATACGTGTGCCTACATGTGTGTGCATGTACAGTTAGTGAAAGGACTGCATACAACTAAATTATAATATTTACTTGTGATTATTAATTGATTTTTCACATATATAGACATGTATTCAATAGCATCATTGATTTATTGATCGATTATTTGATTGATCTGTTTGCAATAAGAGCAGGTAACAATTTGTATGAATTATTTGGTATTGATTTTTTGACAATTTATACCCATACGTATATAAATATTTACGTGCATCCGTCAAATTTAGAAAATCAATCTCTATAACACCCAAACTTTTTCCCAAACTTTCCTTTTATTTTTTTGTAGATAATCCTTTACGGGGGACGGTTAACACTGACTGATTCCCTCAATCAATCACCACCCAGGAAGGAAATTACCCTCGACGGGGTGACGGTAGCTTTGGAAATTGGCAAGCATAAATTCCTCCTTGGAGAAAGCATTCCTTTCACCATTTCCTCCCAGGGTGACAGCAGCGTCGTGAAACGAGTTAAAATATCGCTTATAAGGACAATTTCACACTCGCTCCGACTAACAAGATCAGAGGAGCATGAGAGTGATGTGCAAATCACGACGGAATCTGAAATCTTGGATTGCGTCGTTTTCCGCAGGTTTCTAAAACGGGAAACTTTCACACGAAGCGGAAAACTTTTACAGGGAAAGGATCCCTTAATTCCGACGTTTCTGTCCAGCAATGATCTTCACTTGATGATTCGATATGTTGTACAGGTTAGGGAAATTTTTAGTTTACAAGTTTTGCACGACTAGGTTTTGGTTGTTTATGTAAATACGTAGGATCCCAAATTATTTGACAAAAACCATGGAAAGCAATCGAGTACTTATTTTATATTTTATAATTTGTTTAATATTTCCAAAACTTCTCTAACTTTCATAATAAGTACACATAACACTTTAAATAATTTTATTGGGGTTGCAAATTTACAGATGAAGTTGACCACAAAAGGGCACAACGCCGAGGTGAAGGAAATGGAGGTCATAGTCGGGACAGAAGCTGCACATCAGGCAGAATTGGACCCTGGTCTGGACACACTGCCGTCATCTGGATTGACTCCCTGTCCACCTACATATTCTGAACTTTCGTCCCGAGTTGGGTCACAGGTTTCCATGGAGACGCGTAAGTTGGAGATACATAAGTACTTCATATTTTTTATCTTTCGCAAGTTGCATAAAGCATGTGATCGATTATGGCCCCAATCACATTGTGATATATAACAACCAAAATCCGAGAAAATGTTGAAAAAAGTCTGGGTTAAATCGACCACATGCTTTCTGCACCGCCCTATACTACAGTTGAGTTAAGTGACCATTCTTATTTCAGTGCCGCCATCGTATGAAGAAGTGTAAACTTTCTCTATGTAGATAAAGGGTCCAATTCTTACATACCTACATACACACGTATACAAAATAGTACGAAAACTAAATACATACATACAAAATTATGCACAAAGTGCCATTTGTACAATAAAAAAATTATTCAAACCGAACTTATTCGTTTACTAAAAATAGTATTATAATCTAGGACTGTATGTCACTTTCATGATGTAGATTCCCATTATTAGTGTTAAGGAAATATGATTACATATGTAGACATGTAAATATGTAGATTAATCATGTATTTTTTCCTGTAAATAAATGCTAGATAAGCACGATTTTACCTAAGGAAGGGTACTTTTTATTTTTTCGTGATAATTAATAATCGTAATTGTGAGTGACAAAATGCAGAAGTGTGTATAATTTGTACATAGGAACTATACTCGAAAGAATGAATGTGCATATGTACATAGATACATACACATAATATATATGTACGTAGCCTAATGTTTCTATACTAGTTTATACGCCCGTCAGACGACGGGCAAAAAAGGCCCGTCGATTAGCCCTTGACCCAAAACAGAGAATGAAAATATCAGTGAAGTTGGCCCTCCTTTTCATTTCATTGTCTGCAGAGTAGAGAGCAAGAAGGAGAGGCTAACTTCTCAAAAAAGCCACCGACCCAGCAGCGATACACTCGCCTGCTTTATATAGTTTAGATTACATCAATTACAATTGATCAATTTACATATTTACAACACAATGATCAGATTTACAGTGTGATACAAAACAAAGGAGAAAAAGTTAGTGCGGAATCCTTTCGTCAGAGTTGTGTAGGGTCCTACTCTATGTCGTAAAATGTTGCAACTTTTCAACTCTTTTCGCTCTACCTTTGGTAGATTTTGTACTTCCCAATCTCTTATAAACTCCTCTGATCTGGCAATTCCTCCAATCGCCAGTGGCAAAATGCTATGGACAAATATAACGAAGAATAAAATGAAGATTATGCAGAGCAGTATCATAGCAGTAGGGAAGACATTACTCAGTCGGACGACAATATATCCGACAATGACGAAACAGATAAAAAAGGTAAGCAAGCCAGCAGCCATGATGTCTTGTATGGTATGATTAGTGATAATCATTATTATCTGAAGTTGTCGGTATTTATGCAACTTTTTCGCAAAGTTATGAACCTCGTCCCTCTTCGTGAGTTGTTTTAGGTAAGAGTTGACCATAAGGCCGATATTAACGTAGGTTATTACAGTTGCATTGACTAGCACGCACCCATGACGAAGAGTGAGAAATATAATGACCATTCTGATGATGACTGCTAATTTCGAATGGGTGGAAAAGAGGAGTATGTTCCGAAACCAAAAGTAGGTCGGGTCCACATTATGGACAATGATTGGGAACAAGGCGGCGCAGCTTGGAGTAATGATGATTGAAGGAATCAAGACGAAATTGAGAAGAACACCAATCAGCTTGGGCTCCTTGTAATCTGTTCAGATTCAAGAAATTTATAATGCCGTGGTACATACATACATTAACTCTGGATAATTACAGACTCAGGCCCCAAAATCTGGACTAAGATAAAACCCTTGGGTATGGGGTTTACATTAATAGCAAAACCCCTGGGCATTCTAAACCCTGGATTTCAATGCACAGCCGTTTTTTGGGAATTATATTTTATAATTTATAAGCGTTGAAAAATAAACTTGACGCTATTTACCATTGTCGTCACCCCTTCGTCCTTTCGTCATGTGTAGATGATTTAGCATAAAGCAACACTCGCATACTGTGGAAATCATATTAATAGCTTGAAATGTGTTGAAGGAACTCATGCACATTTGTACTAAGCCTACAATTCCGGTATAAATATTAATTTCGGGATCTTTATGAAATCTGAAAATTTCTCTGATGGCGATATACATGCTGCAGGAGGCGGACATGGCGACCATGAACGACAAGAAATACCACGGCACCAATTTGACTTTTCGCGTAGGCTGCGCTGTCCATGACGTCCTATTCCAGGTCAAGTGCTGAGGATACAAAGCTTCGCTGACTATGGTGAAATGCCGAATAGCGTCAAGCGAGGTAAAGGAACAGTTTGAAACGTAATTCCTAAAAGACGAAAAATTTAATCGAGATTTTTCAAATTTGGGACGGACTAAAAGATCCATAGCTTCACTTTTCGCCGAGAGTCAGGACTAAATGTAGGTCACATACTTAAATATCCTGAAGTTTTAGTTAATTGAGACAAAAACTTAGGTACGAACATATGTTAATAAATTATGCATGGGCATGCACATACAATTACATACGTGTCCCCTTTAAAACTTGGATTGACCATTTGTGGTGAACGAATAAATATGTATTTAAGTTAATAGTACGTGAACTTTTACCAAGTCTAATTATAGAAATCCAGTTTCCCCGATAGAATAATTTCGTGAGTAAAAAATTTTACGAATATATATACTCCTTTGTGGTCAGCTTTTCTGATGTGTAATTTGTGTAATGTGGTTGCAATTATAATAAATGAAATAGAAAATATATAAAACTTATGTATTACTGTCGTATGTGCATATAAATATCTGGCTCGATGCTCCGTGTCCAAAAATTCTTGTGTTGGGGGCAGAATGGAGCGTGCATGCGATCGGATCACATTTGTACGGATTTATGTGACATTTTAAACTTCGTCCTTGAAATTTTGGTATGCACATGCACCGACATATATGTGCTACATCATAATATAACATCAATTCCCGTTCCGTTCGCTACACTCTTAGCAAAACGGTATTGAATCATCACTAAACGGGGAGCCCACATGACTTAACCAAATTGTGATAATATTTACCCCACATTGTGATAAATCTTCCCCCTAATGTGTAAACGTAACACTGGATAGTGAGGATTTAACACATTGTGGGGAAGATTTATCACAATGTGGGGTAAATATTACCACAATTTGGTTAAGTCATGTGGGCTCCCCGTTTGGTGATGATTCAATACCGTTTTGCTAAGAGTGTATACATTTTTCAGGAAAAATCAAAAACAAAATGTCATCCCTATCATTTCACATGTTACTGGTAAACATGGTTATTGGTTTTTGATTTTTCCTGAAAATTCATAGTGGAGTCGATATCTAAATACGTAGATTAGTAATAATCATGTATTTTTCTCTGTAAATAAATATTTATTAGCACGATTTTAGATATGGAGAAACATTTTATTATGTACATATTTTATTTCACGTATAATTTTAATTTATCACCTTAGTGTGTAAACATATAATTTACTATAATTTTATATTTTAAGGTCTTAAGATATACTTGTGATTAATAAAATACTAAAATGGGCATAACTTACACATACGATATGTATACATATTGCTAAAGATTCGTTTATCACATGTAATTCTTAATACGAGGGGTTATTTCTTCAGAAGTTAGAATCAGGTAACGAAAAGTTGAATAGTACCTAGTCAGTCATTAAATTCTAAGATTTTTGCTATAGAAAACTAACGGGTATGAATTTTTATTTAAAATTTTCCACGTTTATGCCTAAACTACCTGTATATATTGCAAAAATACTAAGTTTCAAAATTTCTTCTTCTGGAGTATTCACACTTGAATAAAATCTGATGATAAACTTGTCGCTTGAATTACGCACGGTTTCCAGATGAAACTTATCCCCAGCCTTGTGTAAGATTGGCAGGGAAAATTACAGCGTTTGCATTAAGCAAAATTCATTGATTTTATTCAGTCACAAGGATTCCATCAGCAAAGGCAGACCTTAACCCTCTGAAATATCACTTGCGGCCCAAAATTGAGACCACGGCCTGCTCTAAAACTTACACTTGTGCAGAAGTTCTAAATTTTTTTCTCAACGCCTGTGACAATTTTACGCTGGAAACCGTGCGTGCCCCAAGCGACCGGCCGCCCATCAGATTTCGTAAGTGTGTATACTCCAGAAGAAGAAATATTGAAACTTAGTATTTTTCTAATAAAGATATACAGATAGTTTAGGAATCGACGTGGAAAATGGTAAATAAAAATACTTGGCCGTTATTTTTCTATACCAAAAAACGTTTATCAAAGGATTTAGTGACTGACTAGGTATACATATATACATATCTATGTATGTCTGTACATATGTATACCTTTTTCAAAAGAGAATTACCCTATTAAGTACATTCCAACCTTCACCATGACATCCGTCTTTACAAAGAAATGACTAATTCAATCACGTAAAACAAAGTGCATGCAACATAATTGGTACGGAAAGTCTTGGTCAGGATTGTGTAAGAACCTACCCTCAGGCGAAGTGTTCGGCAACTTTTCAACCCTTTTCTCGCTAACTTTCCAATTTTTTGCGTTTCACAATTCTCAATAAACCTTTCAGACACAACTGTCGCACGAAACCCCAATGGCAACAAAAACATCGCAAAATGCGAAACTTAACAACATAAACCCGATCGTAACCAATATTAAATTCATGGGAATGATATTATGCAGCCTGACTACCAAACAACCCATCATCACGCTGCAGATGAAAATGGTAAACAGTAAAGCTGCCATGAGTTGTTCTGTGACGAGATTCATGATGGTTACAATGATCTAAAGTTGTCGATATGCGTTCAGGTTTTTTACAAAGTTATGTATCCCGCTCCGTTTCGTGACTGTCTTTAAACAAGAGTCGACCATGAGGACGACGTTCACATAGGTTATTACGATATCGTTGAGTAGGATATTTCTATGAAGTCCGCCCAAAAATATGATCACCATTCTCAGTAGGATAGTCATTTTGGGCCGGATCGAGAAGAAGGCTGTCTTTGAATTAAAAGTATGTAGGGTCCAACTTATTGGCGAAAATGGGGAAAAAGGAAATGCAACTTGGGGTGATGATGATTGAAGGAATTGTGACAAAGTTTAAGATCACGCCAATCAATTTGGGCTCCACGTAGGCTACAGAGGTTAGAAAAACAAAAATCTGACACTACCTTCTAAATAATGTGTTATCGCACATGATTATTATCGGTGGAGGTACTATGCAACTCTATCGCCTTGGTAACAATATATGATTGAAGGGTAGCATATATGCAAAGGCTTTGATTTTCTCAAAGCCTGATGATTTTATGGAAAATTAGCAATATCAAAGCTCTATTTAGTAATAAAATATCGAAACTGTACATAGTTTGTTACTCTTAGATAACAATTACGAGGGTAATGATATTGTAGAATGCATAGTAACTACCGCCATCATATAATGTAACAGCACCTTATACATGTATGTATATTTCAAAGATCTGTAAAGTCAAGAAAAAATATACGCAACTCACCATTTTCGCT